GATTATGGAAGCCATACATTTATTAAGAGGTTTGATGGAGAAATATAGAGAAAATAAGGATGATCTACATATGATATTTATTGATTTAGAAAAAGCATATGATAAAGTTCCAAGAGAAGTGCTATGGAGAGTTCTTGATAAGAAAGGAGTCAATAATGCTTATATTCAAATCATTAAAGATATGTATGCAGGAGTTATTACTTGTGTTCAAACACAAGGTGGATTGACCAAGTATTTCCCTATTTCGGTTGGGTTACATCAAGGATCAGCCTTAAGCCCATATCTTTTTGCTTTAGTCATGGATGTTCTCACTATACATTTGCAAGATGATGTACCTTGGTGTATGCTTTTTGCTGATGATATTCTTCTTGTTGATAAGACTAGAGAGGGAGTTGAAGGTAAACTTGAATTATGGAGGTCAACCTTAGAGTCTAAAGGTTTTCGCTTGAGTAGATCTAAAACGGAATATATGGAGTGCAATTTTATTAGTAATAGACCTAGTGAGGGGATTGTGACTTTGGGTGATCAAGTCATTAATAAGAGTACACGTTTTAGGTATCTTAGATCTATTGTTCAGAGTGATGGTGAAATAGATGGGGATATTATTAGCAGAATTCAAGTTGGATGGTTGAAGTGGAGGAATGCATCGGGTTTGTTATGTGATAGAAATGTACCCCTCAAACTTAAGGGGAAATTCTATAAGATGGTAGTGAGGCCTGCAATGCTTTATGGTGCCGAATGTTGGCCATTAAAAGAGAAGCATAATACTAAGTTAAGTGTGGCAGAGATGAGGATGCTCAGGTGGATGAGTGGCTTTACCCTTAGAGATAGGATACGAATGAGCATATACGTGAAAAGGTTGGAGTAGCTCTAGTAGAAGATAAGATTAGAGAAAGTAGCCTTAGATGGTTTGGTCACATAAAACTACGGCCTTGCGATGACCCGGTTAGGAGAGTAGAGGTATTAGATTTGACTTATGTTAAGAAAGGTAGGGGTAGACCTAAAAATACTTGGTTAGAAAATATTAGGAATGACCTTTGTTTATTAGATTTAAACGAGAATTTGACTTTTAATAGGACACAATGGAGAAAAAGAATTCATGTAGCCGACCCCACGTAGTGGGATAAAGGCTTGATGTTGTTGTTGTTGTATAGTTAGTTTGTGTTCGTTAATATTTGACATTTCTATATTTATGTTTGGTTTGATAGTATTTGATTTGTTGTGGATATAATGAACACAAACAAATATATCGACCAAATAAGTGATATTCTTTAGTCAGAATAAATAAAAAGATAATAAAGAAAAAAACTCGAAGACCTCTGCTATGCCTTAGAAGCAAAAACATCAAACAACAATATAGAAACAGGAATAAAACTAAAACAGTGGTGGTTTTTTTTATTAAAACTTCAATAAGATAAAATAAGATACATGTCTACAATTCAAGAGGTAGTCGGCTCTCCCAATCAACCTAGACGCTGCTAGAAAGCCCTAAAAAAATAACTATATCAAACA